TGATTTCTCCGTAGTTGCGGATTATCACCCGCCTCGTACAAAGACGTGACACCGCCCAAGATGTTCAAGCAACGAACCCTCGGTCATGTGATGTACGGAGACGCCAAGGTGCAAGGGATTCGACGGCGTCACTCCCGAGCTTTCAACGAGTATTGGATACGGCCCATATGTCACTGAATCCAGGCTGTCCTTATTATTAATAATGGACTGGCCGGATTCGCATTCAGCGGACCATCTACGGTACGAACCCTCAGCGGCGGATGGGATGAGTTCGCGGAAGACTCGGCGACCTTTTGAAGGCACGTTCACCGTCTGGGACAGGGCGCGGACCGTTAAAGATGCTCATGCGACGGTGCAGACGACGCTTGGCATACCAGAAGATCCATAACGGATTATTGTTCACTTGATATTTGTATACTTGATTAGGACTTCTTATTAGGAATAGACCCGAAAGGGTAAGATTAAATATAGAACAGAATTTCCACTCAAGCACACAGAGCGACGTCCGGCTTCAAGGTAAGCGTCTGGTCAAGCTTGTTTGAGTGTGTTATGCCTGTCAGTGAACTCGAAGCTCTGTAGCGAGGGTTCATCCGGCAAGGCCAAGAGACTTTGTGTATTGGCCGATTATTATCGGGAGGTTTTACGTGACGGCTTATTGTTGCCTATTTGCACGACTGGGAGTGCTTGAATTGCCTCCCTTTTATTTCTTCCAGCCGAGTGTTGAACACTCGGTGATCTCGTAAAAGGCTTACCCGTGCCTGGTACCCTTCCGCTGTTGGGACCACGAGGATTCAAAACACCTGCTAGCTTTGCTCGTGCTAGTAGCGTGTTCTTATTTTACTGGTTGGCCTATATAAGTAGTTTACAAGGTCCAGTTTGTCCCGGTGCAAGGGCAGAACTGGGGTCTTCAGGTCCGCCCGAACGATCGTTTACTATCCTAGTAGACGTATTGTTGTGGGAACATCCTAACTACATCTGTAGCTAGAGTTCACGTGGGATTTCCAACACCACACTAGTACCACAGCAAACCGCTGTCTCCCGAATAGCAGCGATTTTGTTTCTTTTGTTGTCGCCTGCTGACTGGCTATCTGCACGCCGCTGGATTGCTGTAAAAATCGCGTTTTCTTCTCGATCTCTCTTGTACGCCTTTTTGATCATGGCTATCAACTCGCTGTCAGTGGTCACCTCGCTGACGGCTAAACTGAAGGCCGCATCATTGAAGCTGGTCACACTCAAGTCATGAAAGTACTTCGTCTCCGGTTGCAAGTCTGGTCTTCGGCTAAGCGCGTCTGCGATTCCGTTCTTCGCACCTGGAAGGTATGAGAACGTTGGCTGATACTCCGCGAGGATATCGTACCAGCGCGCGAGACGACGGCTTGCTATCTTTTAAGTAAAGAGACCTTCAAGACTCTTGTTATCCGTTTCCACGATTGGTGGCTTGTCCAAGCAGTAAATACGGAAAGCTGTCAGCGCGTGAACAATTGCCAGAAGTTCTTGCTGCTGCGTCGGGTAATTGAGTTACGCAGATTTCATCTTTCTACTGGTGTAAGCAATGGGTAGCTCAGCACCATCGACAACCTGGAACAGGACTCCCCCGACTGCAAAGTTGCTAGCATCCGTACGCAAATGCATAGGCTGATTGAAATCGGGCAAGTGCAACACTGGCGGATTGCACAGCCGTTTCTTCAGCTCCTTGAAGTTCTTCGACTGCTCTTCGTCGAAGCGAATCTTCGCTTGCGCTTGGACTTCTTCTTGAGCAAAGTAAGCATACTTGCTGTCAGTTTCGCGTAGTCTGGGCAGAATCGTTGGACGTATCCAGTTAAGCCGAGGAAGCTGTGAAGATCCTCTTGCGCTCTTGGAATTGGCCAGTCCTTGATGGTCTGCACCTTATCTGGATCCATCCGCACGCCGCTTCTCCCAACAAAATCTCCAAGGCATGGAATCTCGCCGGCACAGAAGACGCACTTGGACAGCTTCACGTATAACTTGTTGTCTCGCAAGATGTCCAATGTTTTGCGGAGAGCCTCCAAGTGATCTTCAATCTTCTGTGTCTTCGTCAAGATGTAGATGTCATCGTAGAACGACTTCGTGTTCTCCAGATCGCGAAAGAGTTTCGACGTCAATCGATGCATCGTCGCTGGCGCGTTGCAGACTCCCATTGGCGGTACCAGGTACTCCCAGAGTCCGTTGGGCGCCTGGAACGCTGTGAACTTGATATCTTCGGCACGCATACGAACTTGATAATACGCGGACAT